TTTTTTACATCAAAAAGACAATAATTATTGTCATTGACATCAAAAAGACAATGAATATTATTAACACTAAAAGACATGTTATTAAAATTAACATTGAAAAGACATCTAATAACATTGAAAAGACATGAAATAACATTGAAAAGACATGAAATAACATTGAAAAGACATGTAACTTGAACATTGAAAAGACATGTTATAACATTGAAAAGGCATGTTATAACATTGAAAAGGCATGTTATAACATTGAAAAGACATGTTATAACATTGAAAAGACATGTTATAACATTGAAAAGACATGTTATAACATTGAAAAGACATCTAATAACATTGAAAAGACATGAAATAACATTGAAAAGACATGAAATAACATTGAAAAGACATGTAACTTGAACATTGAAAAGACATATTATTGACATCAAAATGACTGATTAAAATTTAAACATCAAAATGGCAATGTTATTAACATCAAAGACATGTTATTGACATCAAATATCCATGATATTGATATCAAAATGACATGTTATTAACGTGAAAACAGCAATATTTTTTGACATCCAAAAGGCATGTTCTTGACATAGAACAGCTATCTTTTGACAGCACTCTCTAATATTTGGAACTGTCCATGGTTATATTGGGGGAAGGGGGTCATTATAAGAGAACTCATTTATGTTGTTAGTGTTAAATGTTTAATAGGCATGTTAAGGACGTCAAAATTGGATCATTCCGTAGCATTATACTATAGTACCATTAACAATATTATGGCCTGGAAATTAGGATAACCAATTATCACATGAATTAACATCATATGTATCATTAATCATATTATATATGCAGATTTTTATTGATTGTATTTATACGGCTATAGATCTTATCCGGAACTCGGCAAAGGACCAAAATTTGGGTTTTCCATGCTAATTCCCCGCTACAAACAAACTTTAACTGTTATTATAAGCTTCAAGGTGCACTACCAGTCACAAAAGAAAAGTCAACCTGTTGCGCTTATTTCCAAAGCTTTAACTGTAAAAGTTTGTTTGTATGGATTTAAAGCTGGGAAAAACCCAAACTATTCTTAATTCTGGAGAAAGTCTATTTCTTTTGTATTTAGAAATATAATGCTCAAGAATGTAAAACTTTTCCAGGAAAAAATAAATTATTATTATTTGAGGCTTTGGATATTTTTAAAAAAGATTGGTACTTTTATTTTTAAGCTACATCCAATTTTTATGATGCTGCACCAATGTTGCCATAAATCCTGCAACAAAAATGATTTCCAAGTTTTCTTTTTAACAGGTTGAGAATGACAGAAATTTAACTGTTTACTGGTACAATCATACATTATTAAGAGACTAATAAACTAAATTGCAACAAAACAAAGTTAATAAAATAACCAACTCCAATAAGTTACAGTACATACTTTTAAATACATAAAAGAAAAAATTCCATGTTGTCTTGCTGGCAGATTTTACTTCATTTTAAAATGTGACACTGAGCTCAAAACTGCCAATTTAGATAATCTCTCGATAAAAATCTCCTTTTTTTTTCCCAATGAAATTTTCATACATAGCATTCCCAAGGCATCACTAGAAAATGACAATTTCAAATATATTAACTTTAAAAACATGCAGTCATTTGAAATGTTTTCCATTTAGGAAATCAGCACTATGTAAGCCACTCTACTTGTTTAATTTGTGTCTGTAGGTATGCATTTTTAGTAAACAGTCCTTAAAGAATTCAATATTGAATCATAATGTTATGATTTGAAACATTTCGAAAGGAATAAATTACATATTAACCCTTACACTTCTGAAACAGAAAGTGATTGGCCTTTGCCATCACGAGCTTAGGCCAGCCTGAACATACATGCAGTTGGACCAGGCTCTATACTGTTGGCTGAGTAACTTTTTAGGCCGAAGGCAATCTAAATTCAATTTGACTTCCTATAAAATTTACAGGAAAGAACTGAATATAAGTAGACTTTTCATTGGTCATTTTTTAATTACAAACTGAAATCTGGGAATCTCATTGGCTATTCTAAAATAACATGTAAAGGATAGTTCTTGCCATTCTAAAAATAGTTCTAAAATAATGTAAAGGATAAATCTGTCCATTATAAAATAAAATGTAAAGGATAGTTCTGAAATAATTTTTAAAAGGATAGTTCTTTAACTTTTTAGATATTTCAGTTCCATTTAACCATACATCCTCAATATAAAACATTTTACACTGCGTTTAGACCTCATTACACTTTCTAGTGAACACTTTATTTAACATAATTATAATAAATAACTTAAATATTTATATTTTATTAATACAAGAATATAGAGTTATAAATTTTGTCCACAATATCTAGCTCAAGCTCATGCAAATGAAAATATCGAAAAACACGTCAAAAATTCTGAACTTATCAGTTTATGATGTTCAACAAGTGTCCAATATATTATATGATCATTGATGTGTTCAATTTATATAATGGTTATAATTTGCATATTTGTTTGCATATTAATAAAATATTTATGAACATTACAACCTACCAACTGTGTATATTGGTGATAGAAATTGAGTTCATTTATCAAAACACGACAGACCTGTTCATTTAGGAACACATTGCAGTGTTCCACTTTTCAAGATTAATAAGATATTAAGTTAACCAGTTTTACCTCGGCCAAATATCTTTTTTAAAGATACTTCTTGTTAATTTTCATCTTGATGTCCCTAAAACTGATAATGAACGTCAAAAGATGTAACCTGGACAAGTCCATTAAAGGAATTCAGCTGGTTATGGAAAAGAACAAAATGGCGCATCCCCTAGAACTCGCAAATCCCAAATATTCTAACTTTGTTCCTTTAGAAACCATTAGACACAGTTTTGCAAAACTTAAGAATCGAGTGGCTAAATATTATTGACAGAAAAAGTGCATGAATTCTCATTGGAATAATACAAAGTCTGCATCGGTATTGAACTCCAAATAAATCAACACCTAAATAAACAAACAAATAAACAAACAAATAAATCAAATTCTAATACAGTAAAACAAAATGCTGTAATAGTTTTGTCTACATGTTGTAGAACAGTGTCACAGAAAACCATTAATACGAGTCACTTTTCTCTTAATACAGCTTCCATTAAAGGCATTCCTCAAGGGACGTCTTGAAATTACAAACGATACAATAAATACATACGGAACATCAACAACGCATGAGTACATGACAATAATGTCTCACTGTGTTAGTAGAAAATTAATTAAGGTATCCCCGTTTGATTTTGGCTCGCCCATGTGTAACAACCAATAATTATCAAATTAAAACAGACTGAACCTAAGATGTAATGTTATGACACACTGTTAAACACCTATCCCTTCATGTATATATTGATTAAACTTATGTAACGTGACTTTTATAATGGATCGGCTCTGTTTATGTACTTATTGACCTTTATTGACCTTTATTGACCTTCGTGACCTTTGAAGTGTATGAAATCACACTAAGAGACAATGAAAATCTCTTGGTATTATCCTTTTGTAGAAAATGACGCTTGTTTTTAACTCATGATCAGTTAAGGTGGTTCCTATAGTGTTCATGTAGGAAGCTGAAAACTGTGTAGTTATAATAGAATTCATTTAAACTCTGCATGATCTTTAAGGATATGATTGATGACCCCCCCCCCCTGTTAAATTCTTTTAGGTTAAAATGATTCTGTTATCCTATTCTAAGTTCATGCGAGGTTTAAATCAATCTTATTGAGCAGTTTTGCATATGAAAACATTAGCATAAGCTTTTGGTATCAAATCAGGTGCTACTGTTGGCAGGCTAAATATACAGTATCAGTACTGTATATGGATAACATTTCTTTCTGTAATTACTTATTCTTCAAAGAGTATTCAAGCTACATGTAGGTTGTTAGACTTAAAAGGTAAATAACATGTTTGTTTATGATCTGAAAGTCATGTGTGAAAAAGTATTAAATTTTTAATTAAAAAAGTTGTGCTAGAAAAAACTTAATGTTCATGAAAGGGTAAAATTCTCACAAAATCATGCTAAATTAAAGCATTGAGCTTTGATCAGTTCTCATGACACAGCCACTAAATTATTACCCAGATGACAATGTGTGAGAAGATTCAGTTTTATGTCTTAAAATAAATGCCAACAAGATGGTTTAAAGAAGGAAACCTTACAGAAAGCCGAGAAGGGCAAAATTTATTGAAAAATTTATATTTAAGACTTGAGTCTGTTCATGAACGGTAGTGGTAATGTGCAGCTTACCATACTAACCCAACAAATTGTGCACCTGAGGTCTTGATGGTCGCCCTTTGTAAAGACTGACATCTATGTAATATCAGTTTGTAAAATTGGTCGGTCTTTCAGTCATAATATTAAGTCTAGCTACCATCCATGCCCCTTAAGCACAGACTTGTGCATAATTCAACATCTAAACATTTCTTATTTAGAAACTTTATAATCAAGTTTTTCAGCATTAGTAAAAGATAATCACTTGCCTAACAAAAAAGAAATCTTATGCAAACATCCAAACATCTATGTAGATGTATCTCTTTTGTCACTAAATTACACAGTATTACACAAATTAATTCAACATCTTAGACTGAAATTAGTTAATATTAAAACCTTAAAAGTACAAAGGAATAGCTTAGGGAAGAAAAAAACCTAATCTTAACACAAAGGAAACGAAAATGTTCCTTAACACAAGATTAAAGAACACAATTGAAGATCAATGACCGAAAGAACAACTTCTGTTGATGTAAATTTCTGTCTTTCATTTACTTTATTTGATCATAAATAAAGCCTATCAAGAAAAAAGCGAGAAAAAGGGTGTCTAAAAGAACCAACACTATAGCTCCGATTAATTCTTGTTATTCAATTACTTATGCTAATTAACATCAGTAAATTTTTGTTTTGTTTGATGAGGGGCGATCGGAAGAACAAGTTTGATCACCGTTCTACAAGAAATACATCTAAGTCTGATTAATTGCGATAAAATCTCTTACACGTTTCTTGACGTGAAACATATTTCTGTGTCTAGTACAAATGTCCCCTGGGTTTGTATCATGGTCGAAATGAACGCAGCTTTCTAATCAAATGTTCCGTTAATCTTGTCCACTTCACGGCCTTATCTGGAAGAAGAAAAAAAAAGAAAACAAATGTTGTTCCTTTATTAACATAGCTTTACAGCAATTCATTAAGAAATGGGGGAAATTGTACTAAATCCTGATAAAATTCAGACATAAACTGGGAGATTGCTTTTAGCAAAAGTGCATATTGTTTGTAGTGTATTTCCTTAGGAAATTGTTTCAAACTTGTAACCTCTACCATAATAGATTCATGTTGGAAAGATTCATTGATATTTTAAGGGATTTCAATATCATTAAACTTTAACCACGCTGAATATCTTAAATGGACTTGTCCATTTTTCAATCTTTAATTTATATGGTTTGGTTTTATGGCGCACCAACACAATTAAGGTTATATGGTGCCAAAACAGGAAAGATGATTTTAGCTAACCTTGGGTGCTACAAATTTAAGAAACACCAGGGGTCAGACATCACCAGCCGGAGCTAAGAGATGCATAGGCTTCAGTAATTCAAAACCATTTGGTTGCCTCTTTAGATCACTTAGGGATAAATAGTGACTGTAAATCTGATGCCTCAACCATTAAAGGCAAACCTTCAGCCATAGGTCCAAGGGGAAATTTTTTCAACCTGGATAATAAGCATTCACCATTTAAGGAAGATTTGAAAATAAAGAAATGAAAAGCATGCAGTAGCGACTATGACCAGACAGAATGTTGTGATGTCTGATCTATTTCAGGCCTACACCGATTGCATGGGTAATATAAGCTGTCGCAATCAGGCTAAAGGTCAATATTTAAATTACATAGCCATCAACATAGAGTTCGGTAAGACTGCACTATTTTACAGGCAAGCCTAGCTCTAATATAACTTGTTGTGAACTAACTAATTAGTGTATAAATGAATACTTTAAAATAAACACCTTTCGGTATTTTAAATGTACATGTCATTTGGCCTGACTCTTTTTTGAATAATTATGAAACCATTACTTTTAATTCTAGCCTTCTTCCTGCGTGCCGCAGCATATTCTACACATGTGACGAGTGTAGACAAATCTCTGCTATCTCATCATGGTCTCTATTCAGTTAATTGGTACCTATTCCTTTCCACATTTTTTACAACTTTTTTTACAATCTTCAGCATGTACAATGCAAAAACTTCAGCTTAGATCACTAGAGAGCGTGCTAATTGACAGTAATAAAAGAGGTTTAACTCTGTAAAAAACCTAACACACGTGACACGAGTCATGGGACTTGTGCCAATCATTCTCATAATCACAGAGAACAAGTGTGAAAAGTTTCAAACCATTCCCTTCAGTAGTTTTGAACACAAAAACTTTTTCACCAAAGTCTGGTGGCATTACTCCAGTGCCAGAGTGAGTGCTTAAGCTCTTCCTATTTTTCAAATTGTTGTTTGGAGGTACGACAGAGTGGTTAAAGCATCAGACTAGTAATCTAAGATTTGCTGACAGCGTGGGTTCCAACCCTGTCAGTCAGGCAAGCCTTTGTTCCTTGAGCAAGAAACTTTACATTCGTTGGTACTGGCTGGTTTCAGGAACATATTCGAGAGTTTTTCAATAAGCTTATAGCTTCCAACACAATCAAACTAAAAAAAATTGTTGAGCTAACAAAACAATTGTTTAACACACTTGAGTTGGTAAAATTAAAGTACTTCAATAAATTACATGTATCCGATAGAATTCCAAGATAAAACTCTTTCAAAATAACAAATTTGATTAATGACAAATTAAATTAACACGTTTTCCTCAGACATACATTCTTGCTGTTTAGTCTGGCTTTAACATGTTCATATTGGTTTTTTGTCAGACATTTATAATTCTTGTAGAGATTTTAATGAAATTTTGCTGACATTTTACATACACTTAAAGTCTCACCAGCATATTTACTAGAATACAGTGATATAAATTGATGAGGAAAGAAGATACTGAAATTAAATAAATTGGGAGACTTGAAATTGCCTTTTAATGCTAGGCATTTTGTCCAAGGAAAATGTGCAACACTGGTGAAATAAATGAAAATATGTATTGATACAGCAAGAAGAGCTTTTTTTGTATAAAAGCTATCTTAAGGAAGAGCTACCTTCAATCAAGAACTTATATCTTTATTCAAGAGCTATCTTCAATCAATAACTATCTTTATTCAAGAGCTATCGATCTTCAACCAAGAGCCATCTTTATCCATGAAGTATCTTAACTAAGACCTATTAATAATCAACCACCTCACCTGTTGCAGTGAAGAGATAAATAGACACCAATAATTCAAACCCATTTAGTTGCCTCTTACTACCAAGCAGGGTTAAACTGTGGCTGCAATTCTGATGCCTCAAATCATAAAGGCAACCCTTCAGTCACAAGGGGAAGGTCATTAATGGCTAAGACCTCTGATATCAAAATCCTTCATCAAGACAACCACAGTTTTTGGGTTATGGCTATCTTTATGGTTGCACTTTTCCTTATGCCTCATGTACAGACTCATTTAAACTAAGTTAGCTATTTTTATGTAATTTTATTGCTTTGATGCTTCCGAAGGATGACTTTTTTTCCAGACTTTGACCAATAATCTCCCTTTCTAGGTTTGCCAACGTTAAATTGTTCCTCCTTCCAAGAAAAGAAAATGCCTTTATAATAAAGCAATGAAGAGGCTTGACATACTTTTTTTTTCTGAGGAAACGTCTTAAAATTGACAAAAGAAAAAAAAAACGGAAGTGGTATCAGACATACAATTCATACAGAACGTTATATCTTCACTAATTATAACAAAATTTTAATGAGACGGTCGTTTCTACAGATGTTAACAGAACACTAGTTTGCTCTTATAGAAGATTATAACGTTCTCATCTCAGATTTTTATCTAATGAACGAGATATGGTGTGACAAGTTAGAAACGGCAATTTGATTGTTCAAGGTGACACATTTATGAACATATCAATACCGTACTGTCTCGTAAACATATGAAGGCTGCACTTGATCGCAGATATCTAAACTTAATTCTTAATGAAACTATATGTTCTTATTACTGTGGAAAGATTTAAAGTTTTAAGTGATAATAGTAAAATTAAGTATTTGAAAGATGGACAAGTTCATTTAAAATATTTCAACAATGCATTGTATTCAGCGTGGTAAGAGTTAAAGCTCTAAAGTCAAGACAAGTGTAGGACAAAAAAGCCCTTCCAGACAAAAGCCTCCCGTCCAAAAATGACAAGGCGGACCAAAGCCCTCCGATGAAAATAAAAGGAGGACAAAAGCCCTCCGCAGCAAATACATATATGTACGTTGAAAAATGAGTTTGTATTTTCTTTGCAATGCACTCAACATCGTAATCATGAATATTTTTGTAAAAAGTAGAACAAAAAAACCCCCACACTTGTAATATCATTTATCAATCAGAAGACTATATTACATGGTCAATGAAATTCTGAGCACCAGCATTTGAGAGCTGTTTATTGTTGCCATAGAGATATAATTAATGATTATCTATAACAATATCATAACTAATCAAATATGGTGTAACAATGGCCCTCGAGGGTTTTGAGGCTCGGACAGATGTAGGCTCTCAGACACCGAAATCAAGTTGATATGTGATCAATCAAACCTGAAAAGAGTCACTAGGACATTTATCATATAATTTCATAATCAAGTTCCACTTATAAACAATGTGAACAATGACGGAACAGCAGAACAGCCGTATTTGATCTATGATAACCTGATATGAAAGGAAAAACAGTGTAATCTTATTTCTCTGATGCTTATTTAAAGCATTAATTGCTAAAATTGGATGATCATACTTGTATAAAGATCAAAGGCAAAAAAAAAATCCACACAACAAAGCAGATTGGTTATTCAAATAAAGTTGTTGGCCATTCATTTTGTAAACTTTGAATTTTGAACCTGTTTCAACAAAAGAAATCAATGTTTTTATAACTGAATCAATGATTCCTGGGATAGGTTTTGCAAATCTCTACGAACTGGAAATGAAGGGTCAGTAAATATGACACTTAACTGATTTCTAATTGATAACTTAATACACCATAAAACAAGCTCATGTAGGATAAAAGGACACAGATTGTGAAAAAGTAAAGTTTAAGAAGTAAAGCGTATGTCTGAAATAATGCCATGCCTTTGTCTGAATTTATAACATACCTATGCCTTAAATACGGTCTGACCTGTGGCTGAAATAAAGCAATGTCTATGTCTGAAATAATGTTGTGCCTATGACCAAAAATATGTCATGTGTATGCCTGAAATAATGCCTATGTCTATTGCAGCATGATTAATGCGGAGTACAAAATATTGCAGTCTGAAATAATGCAAACTGAAATAATGCAGCCTGAAATAATACAAAGACTGGAATATATTCAGCCTGAAATAATGCAAAGCCCAAAATATTGCAGTCTGAACTAATGCAAATCCCAAAATATTGCTGTCTGAACTAATGCAAAGACATGCAGCAGTGTCTATTCTAGGAGAGGGGATGGGGCAATTCACTCATATTTTTGAGAATTCCCTCCTATTTTTTCAGAGGCAGGGGGAAAATTTTACATAGAGAAAGAAGGAAAAAGATCAACAAATGTAATAAATTCTCACTTTTTGATAAAAATCCCCAGCAATGCTTTTGCCTTTGAAAAAAACTTAAAAAAAAAACCAAACAACAACAACAACAACAAAAATTGACACTTGCATTACAATAGACAATTTCATTTCAAATCAGCTAGGATATATAATACAAACTGATGAGACACATCTGTGTATTATATTACAATGTTTGACAGAAAACTGATGAAAATCTCTCATTTATTACTTATTATCTGCCAGATGCTACAAAGTAATTACCATGTATTGAATGAAAAAAATTAACTTAACAAATGTATCAGATTTCAAAAAAATATATCACTAAGGTGATATATGAAACTGGAGAAATCTGCAGATATGAATAAATATTTATTACACAAAAATGTTCTTACATGTGTTGAAAATGGAATTTATCACTACCGCACAAAATATATTAAATGGAATTGTCCATTCTTTCAAATCTAGACAAAACCAATGATCATTTCTAGGGAAAATTTGAAAATATTTAATTATTGAATGGCTTATACAGTAGTGCAGACCAAAACTGATCTCTCAGCACAGACTGATCTTGGTCTGTGCTGGTCAAAAGGGAATAATCCGTTGCCACAGTGATA